CGCTGGCGCTGGAGGGCATCCGCTTGCGGGCGCAAGAGCGCGGCTTCGAGCTGCCGGCGCAGCCCGAGGACGAGCCCTGCGCCGTGCGGTGGCTGTGCTATTCGGCCTTGCTGCGCGAGTCCAACCCGCCGGCGAGGGCGGCGGCAGGCAATCGGCACAGCCTCTTCATCGACGGCGAGGGGCGGCTCTCGTCGTGCGGCTCTACGCCGTCCTACTTGCAAGAGCTACTGGGCCACGGCGAGGGCGTGACGCGGCTCAACACGCCGACCCGCCTCCCGTCTTCTCTCCTTGCCATGAGTGTGTCGGCTGGAGCCGCGCACAGTCTCGCCCTCACCGCCGGCGGAGAGGTCTGGAGCTGGGGCAGCGGCAGCTCTGGCCGGTTGGGCCACGGCGATGAGCAGCACCAGTGGCAGCCACAGAAGATCGAGGCGTTGGCGGGCCAGAGTGTCGTCGCTGTGTCGGCGGGACGCGAACACAGCCTCGCCCTCACCGCCGTCGGCGCCGTCTGGAGCTGGGGCTATGGAGACGACGGCCAGCTAGGCCACGGCGACGGGCAGGCCCAGCCGCAGCTGCTGCCGAAGAAGGTCGAGGCCTTGGCTGGCCAGCGCGTCGTCACCGTGTCGGCTGGAGGCGCGCACAGCCTCGCCATTACCGCCGACGGCGCTGTCTTTACCTGGGGCGGTGGAGCCTTTGGCAGCCTGGGCCACGGCGACACGCAGGAGCAGCTGCTGCCGAAGAAGGTCGAGGCCTTTGCTGATCAGCGTGTCGTCGCCGTGTCGGCTTTAGGGGTGCGCAGCCTCGCCCTTACCGCCGACGGCGCCGTCTGGAGCTGGGGCTGGGGAGGCTTTGGCAGCCTGGGCCACGGCGACGAGCAGGACCAGCTGCTGCCAAAGAAGATCGAGGCCTTTGTCGGCCAGCGCGTCGTCACTGTGTCGGCTGGAGCAATCCACAGCACCGCCCTCACCGCCGACGGCGCCGTCTGGAGCTGGGGCTATGGATCCTGGGGCCGGTTGGGCCACGGCGACTCGCAGCGCCAGCTGCTGCCGAAGAAGATCGAGGCCTTGGCTGGGCGGCGCGTCGTCGCTGTGTCAGCTGGAGCGTACCACAGCCTCGCCCGCACCGCCGACGGCGCCGTCTTCACGTGGGGCAAGGGCGCAGACCGCTGCCTAGGCCACGGAGAGGACCTGTCGAACCAGCTGCTGCCCAAGAAGGTCGAGGCGTTGGCGCCGGGGCCGTGAGTAGGCAAGGCGTGAGTGCGAGGCGGCGAGGAGCCGAGCAGGAGCACTAGCCGTGGGCTTCACCGCTGGCGGCACGCTACGAGCTTTTGAGAGCTTGTGCCGTTCCCGTTGCCGGTTGAAGACAGAAGAGGGACTCGCCTTTAGATTTTTTTCTTCTTTTGATTGATTCGCCAGCTGATTCTCTGTGCGCGAGAGGCCAGCCGCACGCCTCACCGCTCACGCCTCACGCCTCAAGGCTCCCACCAACCTGCTCAGCAAGTCCCACACCCGCCGCCTCGGTAGACTCGGTAGGCCCTCGAAGCAGCATATGCTCGCCCGGATCGCCTCGCAGCAGTCGCGCCTCCTGCGGCCTCTCGCTGTCCGGCACATGTCCGGTGAGGCGAGGCCCATGACGCGCTTCGTTCAGGCGATCGCCGCCGCGCGCTCTCCTACGCCAGCACTTGCGCCAGCACTTGCGCCCACGCCACGCACCACTCGCGCTCTGTTGAGGCACTGCCGAGATGCGGTGGAGCTCACTCGAGGTGCGGCAGTGTCGGTGAGAGAGATTTTAGGAAACCAAAAGAAATCACGACTCTCACAGTGATTTGGGCTCGGCAGCTTGTTAGCCCTCAGCCGAAGCTGGGGCCGGTCCCGTAGCCGAGAGAGCCCGCGCCGATGAGTTCGACGCGGTCGGGGGGGCCTGCGGAGAGGCCAGCGAGGTGGCGATCGCTGTACTTCATGGTGCCCTCGGTGGGGCGGCTGACAAGCCAGAGGTCGATACTCTGGACGACCCATAGGATGCCACGAATGCCTGGAGGAGAGGGAGGCGAGGCCAGAGGCAGGCTCAGCTGCTCTCGGGTGATCTCGCTTTGGTGGCTGAAGGACCCGATGGTCCTGTCACATTCGCGTTCCGAGTCGTGGGGGTAGAAGAATTCGAGGTAGAATCGAGTCAGCACATCCTTGTAGTACAGCGGACCGCCAGGCTCGCCGGCAGCATCCGCATTTTGTCTCTTTCTTCTTGATTGATAGAAAGGCGAAGAACAGTCAGGCTCGGACTGGACACCAGCGCGGTATGGGTGGACGCGGGACAGATGATGACGACACGCACGAGCGACACACAGACACAAACAAGCTCACAAGACACACAGCCAGCGGGCTGCCACACACCCTGAGTAGGCGTACACATCACTCCATCCCGGGGAAACTCCGTCGAAATCGTCATTTTTTGGGGCCGATTCTGAGGCTGGTTGGGCCCAAAATCAGCCAAATTTTAGGCCAAATCGGCAAAATGGAGAACCCGGGTATACCTGGAAATTACCCTGCGACCGCCTGGGTATTTTGTCGATTTCCTCAATTTTGCCTCAGATTTTGCCCCAGACCAGCTCTCAGTACTCAGACTCGAGCACTTGGAGCACTTGGAGTGCAGTCATTAGCCTCACATCCAGGGCCGGGGAGCTAAGGAGCGCAGCGGGCCGGATGATCGAGCTCTCAGACTCAGAGAGAGAGATTTGTCAGACTCAGGGAAACTCGCGAGTTTCCAGAATGGAGCATCCACCCTCTGTTTTCCCTGGAATTTTTCGGAAACTCAAAGTGCTGGGGACCGGCTGTCTTCTTTTTTATTTGTTTGCCGGAAAAGCTTGCAAGGCCAATCCGTTCCCCCATCCCTTGAACCCCGATTTATTTCTTTTTTAAGCGACGCGCGTTTCTATTTGTTTTTCAGGGAAAGAGGCCGCCCGAATTGCAATGACAATCAACTTGGCCTTAGTCCTGCAAACCCAAAGGAAGGTACGCGTGTCGCCATCAAGACTCTCCGCCATGTCCGCTCCTGCCATGTCCGCTCCTCTCACGCCACCCACGTGCGCCAAGCCCTCGCGGGGCTACATCACCGAACGCAAGGTCCAGGCCCGCGGCGCAGCCGCAGCCCGTGACGGCGCAGCCGCAGCCCGTGGCGCACGGCGAAGAAGCCCGTCACGAGGTACGACGCTCCCTACACGACCGAGGACGGCAAGCCGCTCGGCCACTACGACGACTCGATCGGTAAGTGGGTCGGCGAGCCGTTGTGGCAGCGCATCACCTGCCCGGCCCTCGCGGCGCTGGTCAAGAATGGCGACCTCCGGCCCGACCCGCAGACCGGTCACATCACCCAGGCGCAGTGCCGCTGCGCCTTCGCAAAGATTGGCGTCAAGGATGTCGGCGCTGCTGCGACCGCCACCAACTTCAACTACCTGGGTGGGAATGAGCCTGCCAACTGGAAGCACGCCGGATTCCCCGGCTCGTGGGGCGAGGAGTGGCAGGGCAACAAGTGGAAGGGGCCCCGCAAGAGCGCGGCGGAGGACAGAGCGTGCGGCATGGTGCCCAACGGGCAGCCAGTCTGCGGGACCAAGGACGGCAAGGAGTACACGCAGGATGAGGTCGACGCTTTCAACGACGAGCTCCACATCAACGTCTACTTCATGAATGTGACCAACAAGCAGTGGTACACCAACAGCACGTGCCTCAAGACCGCGCTCAACTGCTGCACGCTCGAGCCGCAAGGCATCGTCAACCCGAACCCGTACAACAACATGGAGCACTCCAAGTCGACCGGCATCCGCGACTTCCGCCTCAAGACCGGCGGCTTCGCGGGCTTCTGGAACTGCGTGCTCAGCGCCTTCCCGTTCAAGGAGCAGTTCTGCGGCGAGAACACCTGCCAGATCAAAAGGGACATCACGCCGTCCAAGCAGCAGATGAACGAGTTTCTCAACTTCGCATTCCAGAGTCAAGAGAACGGGGACGCGAAGAAGGCGCCCGCTTACAACGCGCCCTGCACCTCGAGGCTCGGCTTCTTCTTCAACCGCTGCGGCGCAAACTGCCTGAACGGCAAGCCGCCTGCTGACGCCGTCCTGCGCCACACCTGGAACCCCAACTTTCTGCAGCGGGAGACGCCCGAGGTCGATAACGCCGTGCACTGGTTCAACATCGACAACCTGCAGACGCTGCAGTCGTGCTACGCCGAGATCACGAACGACCGCTTCCCGGGCCCGAAACAGATCGAGTACCTCAAGGGCGGCGAGAAGGACAACCAAATCGTGCCCGGGCAGTTTGCGAAGCGGCCGGCAGATGACGGCAACCTCGAGGCGGCCGTGAAGGCGCTCTTCGTGGAGTTCGGCTACCCGGCGAACCAGACGGAGTCGATCCACTCCGCGCCGCCAAAGAACGCGGACGAGGCGCGGGCCCGCTCGTGGACGATGCCCGTCGAGGAGTGGCGCGCCCTGTGGATCGATTCCGAGTACCCGAAGGCTGTGCAGGACCGCAAGCAGAAGGCGAAGGCTGGCGAGTGCCCGTTCCGCGCAAAGCCGGCCGCGTCCTTTGTGCCTGTCCCCGACCAGCCGTGGCTGAAGCGGAGCACTGAGGACCCAGACGTGTACCTCCGCCACGGCGAGAAGTTCCCCGTGCGCCTGCCCTCGACGGCGCCGGCGGCTTGAACCGCCTCAAACACCCTCTCGGCGCCGTGGGCGGGGGCTGAGGACCGAGGCCCTCGAAGGTGATGATTGATATGTCTAGTGCGTACGTGGCTGTGTTTGTGGAGTTGGTTGGGTTGTCGTGTGGTCCGCCGGTCGCACGGTCTCCTCTCCGTAAGAAGCCTTTCAGAGTATTGTGATTTGTGTAGAACGGCCTAACGCGAGCCGGGAACAGGCAACAGCCCATGGCCCATGCGGCGACATGGAACATGGTGCGCACACTGCACACGGCTCAGCGCCTCACTGTCACTCACGGGTGGATTTTGGGGCGCTGTCTGCCCTCTAGAGATAGAACGCACGGTGTAGAGCGTTCTCCAGTTTGTTCTCAAACACCACTGGGTCTTGCTGGGTGTGTTATTGGCCCGTCCACCCGGGGGGCGGGAGACAGTGGGGAGACCGGAAAACCGGACGTCTAACCGGCAATCGGAAAATCCGTGACGGGGACGCCTTGCACCATGTGGAAGGACGCCTTCTCAAAGCCCACGACACCGCGAAAGTCGGCTTGATCGATGTTCGCGCCGTCGAAGATGGAATCGGTGATTTCCGCGCCGCGGAAGGACGTGCCGGATAGATTCGCGTTCTGAAATTCGGCGAGCACGAGGTGCGCCTAAGGAAAGAGGGGAGGTGGAAGCTTGACCACGCGCCGCACTATCGCGTGGGGCCCCACAACACATTTCCTGGCAAGGCCCCAGTGCGCCTTTGACCAGTCTCGGCTCTCTCTCTCTCGGCTACCTCTCGGCCAGACCATATCTCGGCGATCTTGGGATGGGCAGCCATACACCTCGGCGATCTCTCGATCTCGGCTAGGCCTCGTCTCGCCTTCGAGAAGTCAGACCCGACGGCGTAAGCGTCTTGGAAGACCGCGCCCCCCGGGAAGAAGGCCGCGCGGAAGGTCGAGTTGGCGATGTAGATGCCAGACATGTCGCACGGCCCGTTCAGGTTCACCTTCATAATTAATAATTAATAATTAAGAATTAATAGATGCCAGACATGTCGCACGGCCCGTTCAGGTTCACCTTCATAATTAATAATTAATAATTAATAATTAATAGACATGTCGCACGGCCCGTTCAGGTTCACCTGCGAGTCGTGCGGCTGCATCCTGTGTCACGGGGGTGAGACTTCTGCATCTGCGTCTGCATCTGCGTCTGCATCTGCGTCTTCATCTGCGTCTTCATCTGCGTCTGCATCTGCGTCTTCATCTGCGTCCTCATCTGCGTCTGCATCTGCGTCTTCATCTGCATCTGCATCTGCGTCTTCATCTCCTCGACTCCCAGAAACACGTCGCGCGGCTGCTCGTGCGCTGTCGACGAGGTCGCGATCTCGGCTAGATCTCGGCTGTATCTCGGCTAGGTCTCGTGCGTTGTCGAATGAGGTCGCGATGATGCGGGCGCCCTGCAGACGCGCGTCGACGATTGCGGCGCGGTCCAGCGAGGCGTTCCGGAAGAGCGCGCCCTTCATCCCCATGTCCTGTTAGGCAAGGAGTACACAGTGATCAGGAGGGGGGGCGCGTCCTCCATGCCAGGCCGTGGGACACAGGAGGGAGGGATACAGGGGGGGGAATGAGAGGAATAGAAAGGGGGTGGGGGGGGGGGGGGGGGCTCAAGAGCAACAGATGGTCCTCCGCATGTCGGCCATGATTGTGTGGACTTTATGATCTGTGGATGAGTGAATGAGTGTGCCTCCATCCGGATGTCGACCATGATCGTGAGGAAGTACTACACTACACTGCACTACACTATACTGCCTCCATCCGGATGTCGACCATGATCGTGTTCTCCCACGACGAGTTGAAGAGCAGCGAGTCCTGACGCACGGCATTGCAGAAGATGGAGTGGCGTGTGAGAGGATGTCATATGGCATGAGTCGAGAGCAGCGAGTCCTGTTACTGAAGACGACCCGATGTGGACGGTCTAACCACTCGCAGGGGGACGAGCGGGGGGAAGCGTCGGCTCTCCGTGATCACCGCGCGCTCGAGGTTGGCGCCTAAAGAGGACAGCCGCATCGATCTCGCGCAATCTCGACTCGTCCGCAACCACGGCGCGCTCGAGGTGGGCGCCTAGACACTCCCGAGCCCAAATCTCGACGCAATCTCGTGCGAGATCTCGGCGAGCTCGAGGGGGGACGGCCGTCGAACACGACACCGACAGCACTCTGCGGCCCATGCCCCACCTGACAGAGAGCAAAGACACACAGCGGCGGAGCTGAGCAAGAAGCGGCCTCCGCCAGGCACCCCACGAGGTTGAGAGGAGAGGCGGGCGGCGCATCTCCGTCCTCCTCGGCTGCTCCTCAGCTGCTCCTGGGCTGCCTCTCGGCTGCCTCTCGGCGGCATCTCCTCGGCTGTATCTCGGTACTCCTCAGCTGCCTCTCGGCTGTCTCTCCTCGGCTGTCTCTCCAGCACACACCGACTTGATTTGGCAGCGCGTCATGTCCGCGAGGCGGAAGGTCGTGCCTGGCCCCATCTCAGCGGAGGTCATGCAATTAATCAATCAATTAATCAATCAATTAATTAATTAGGCGCGGAAGGTCGTGCCTGGCCCCATCTCAGCGGAGGTCATATCCGCCTGAGGAGGGAATGAATTCGGAGTTAGCTAGTCAATTCATTGGGACCACACCGCCATCTCAGCGGCGGCCGTGTCGGCCTGGAGAGTGAGCGATGGACAAGAGGTGACTCTCTTTGAGAGAGACGCATGAGAGACACACCCCGATCTCGGCAGGACGTGTGTCCGCACCTCTGTCAAGGTTGCGCCGGTGAAGTTGGCCCCGCGGAGGTTGGCCGTGAAGAAGTTGGCCTTGGCCAGGTTCGCGCCGAGGAAAGACGCGTTCTGCGCGGGGAGGAGGTCACTGGTTGGGGGAGGGAGGAGTCCGTTGTGTTCATGGCGATCGTGATTGGGAGTGTGGGGAAGGGATACGAGCGAGACGCAGCCGAGATCGAGCCGAGATCGAGCCGAGATCGAGCGGAGAGCAAGCCGAGGTCCAGCGGCGAGCTTGGCCGAGAGAGCTAGCAGAGAGCTGGCCAAGAGCGCCGGCCGAGGGGCCACCTCCAGCTCGGTGTTGTGCAATGAAACTCATTCTGATAATCTAATAACAACCTCGAGCTTGGTGTCGTAGAAGGTCGAACCGTGGACGTCTGCGTGGTCGAAGATCGCGAAGGACAGGTCCACGCCGTCAAACTTCGAGCGCCCGAGCGAGGCTCCTTTGTCCACACACATGCAGTGGCGAGTGACTCAACGCACAGGCGCGTGTAGCTCCTCTCCTCTTGGAAGCCCGCTCGGGGGAAGAAGAGGCGCACCGCGCAAGTCTGCACCGCGCATGCGGGTCTATACTACACTACACTACACCACCACACTATCACTACACTACACTACACTATAGAGGCGCACCGCGCAAGTCTGCACCGCGCATGTGGTTCGGGCACCTGCACACACGCGGCGAGAGGCTCACACACTCCCCCAAAGGGAGGGCGGGTGGCGCACGCCGCTCGCGAGGCGTGTCGGCACTTTGAGAAGTCGCTCGCCACGCCTGCGGGCAGAGAACAGTCCGCCGTGAACGACGTGCGCAGATGGAGCTAGCAGTACTGCGAGGCGTCACCGCTCTGGCGCGCCTGTGGTTAATGAGTGGCCGTTCACAACTAGCGGTGGACAGTAGTGGACTCCGCGGGCGGAGAAGTCGCTGGCGGGCGCCTGCGGTGTGAATGACTCGCCACAGTCACACCACTAGACAACTGAGCACGTCGGGAGGCCGCTGAGTGTGGCTGCACCTTGCGCCATCGCGAGACACGGGTT